AATGTTAGGTGTGCACCATACTTTCTTTATTCCTATCTGATGTCATTTTCCCTTTTCTCTGTATCAATTTTTTTTTTTTGTGGTGGGGGGCATCACCATCAGAGCAATTCGTTGTTCCTGCTGACCTCCTACCACCCAGAAAATTTAATGTATTTTTAGACTCGTTTGTTGTGATGCTAATTTTGTTTCCTTCATTAACTAAGCCCAATTCAAGTTAGAACTCTCAGACAGGGTGGTCTCATCTATGAGGTCTTCATGTGGTCGGATGACCTTGTACATGAAAGGTGAGAAAGTCTCATCATGTCTGCTGTTCAACTTTTGAAAAAAACATGTTGCTGCTTGTCATGGGGTTCATGAGAGGGCAGAGGTAGACTTTGCATGGATTACTTGAAACGCTGGGAACCTAACCTTTTAAATTTCATTTCAAAACTTGTTCCAGTTCATAGTCGTCAAGGGCTATACTTTTGGCTTTACTCTTTACAACCTTTGCGGCTCCAAAAATAATGTTCATTGTCCATCCCATCATTCTTTGTATGTGAGATAAGGACTCCCAGCTACCAGCTTGCCTAAGAAAACTGATTGCACTAATCTCAAATTTGACTTTGTTAGACTCAATTATCAATTAAACAAGATGCAGCACGGAATCAACTTACTTATTTAATTATTTGCATATTATGCAAATAAAATAAAACTCTTATTAGATTCACGAGTCATTTAAACTAATCATTAAAGTATTCAAACATGGCTGTATTGATTAGAGGGCATTATCAAAGTCTTCATAATTTTCCTTTAGTCACTCTGATCTGAGTGTGAATGGTTCATGATTTACTTGCACTTGTAATATGAAAGAGTTTGATGCTTTAATTTATGATTGGAATCTCTAGTGACATAGTCCAAACTTAAACAGTAATCTTTTTATGACTCAATTCAATTAATTAATATTTGTTAACGAGACTTCTTAATTTGAAAATTTCATATTCGAATCTTAATTCATAAAACGAAATAGTCTGGAAATTTGTGTCATCCAAAGGTAGATGATGAAGCTGTGGAATCTGGCTTTGAGAAAAGAACGTGCTGTGGTTGAAGGCAGAGAGAATGTGTGAGTGCAAATGGCGTGATCAAGAGAGAATTCAACAAAGACAGTTTTCAAAGCGTGGACGGCGAGTGCTTAGGTGCAATCGTCATCCCATCAAAACCAATAGCCGCATTAGGTATCCATCCATCCAATCCCATCCTGGTCAAGGGGTGGATGCTTTAGCAGGTTCAAGCTTGGACTATCTTCTATCTCCTTGCACATTTAAAATTAAGTCATTTCGTATGGTTTAGGAACTTTCTAAGAATAGGCCCTTCCTTTTTCTTTTTTTTATATATTGGGTGTGTGTGTGTGGATTTTTAACAGCTTGGTACTTCCCCCTAAGACAAACCTCCAACAACTTGCCTATTGGCTTAATCACTTGTTACATAATGTTGATGCTCACTCTATCACACATAACAACACCAATATTTAAAATTTTAGTAATATGTATGCAATATTCTTGTAATTTAGATTACTAAAATCACATGTGAAGGTACTGAAAATGTATTTAAATAATTATTAAAATTTTTTGTAGTTTATATTTATATATGTAAATTTTAGTATTTTGAGAGTAAAATTTTGAATGCATTAGGTCAATATGAGGAGTACGTCTTTAAAACTATCCAAAAAAAAATAATAAAAAATTCCAAACAAAACATGAAAAGAAAAACAAGAAAAAAACAGTGGAATCTTTTGGGCTTAACAATCTTTTAGGGTATTAAATATCTAGGGGTTGGGCCTTAACATAACTTGAGCACAAGATGATTTGTGATTTAGACAAATTAAATAATTAATATTATTTTTTTGAAAACCAATTCTTTGCTTTATTCTTTTTTCCTTTTTTTTTTAAATTTATAAAAAGAATGGGAGCCTTTTGCTATTGCAATTTGAGCTGCGTTTGATTAATCACTACATTTTCTTGGAAGCATAATGCCAAAAATAAAATAAAAAAAATTGCAATGCCAAACTGGGCTGAGAGAGTTGGCAGTAGGCATTTATTTTTGGGCTTTCCATCACAAAAAAAGAAACAACGAAAGGATATATGAGCTTGGGTCATCCTGAGGCCCACTTGAGCCCACACAAATTTACAAGAAAGAAAGTAGGGTTTTTAATCCTACCGCTGCCAGAGAGCAGCAGAGGGAGAAAGCATAAGGAAGTAAGCAGCGAGCGGTAGCTTGTCTTGTGTACTCCAAAAATGGTTTCCTTCAGGGTAAGTTAACAGTCAATTGTCATATTATATTGTGTCTTTTTGGTGATGAAATGGTGTTGGGATTTTGGGTTTTGATTTTCTTTTCCTTTTTCTTATATTCAAAAAAAAAAAAAAAACAGTATCACCAGTACCAGGTAGTGGGGAGAGGTCTCCCAACAGAAGCAGATGAGCATCCCAAGATTTACCGTATGAAGCTTTGGGCCACTAACGAAGTCCGTGCCAAATCCAAGTTTTGGTCTGTAAACTAAATTTTACAGATTCTAGTTGGCTTTTTTTTTTTTGTTTGTTGCTTGATGTCTTTGTTTTTACCTTAGGTATTTCTTGAGGAAGCTGAAGAAGGTGAAGAAAAGCAATGGACAAGTTTTGGCTATCAATGAGGTGTTAATCTTTTGAAATTATGAACCCCACAAATAGCTTATACTTGTTGCAATGCATTTCAATATGTAGGCTACGTTACTCTATCTTATGTGTATTGTGTTCAATAAACTTTTCCTACCGTATTTAGAAGTCTGGATAAATGATCCAAATTTACAGCTAAATGCTTGACTTATATTGTTCATTCATAATTTGAAGTTACGAGTGACATTACTGTTAGTTGGAGGCTGTCTCATGCATATATTTTAAGAGGAAAAACACCTTAAAAACCTTTCCCCCCTGTGTTCATTATTTTGTTTTAAAAAAGAAAGAGATCTTGGACCTCCTTTAGGCGTGACCTTCCTTTCCAATTTGGTTACTTTCTTTGCCATATACTGGATGTAGAGTTGCCAGTGCTGAAAGAAGTAGGTCTATCTTATATCCTTGGGTTTAGTTCAGCTGAGTCTCTCTTCCTATGAGGTAATGATTTCCGTATGGTTGGAGTTAGACCTTTTGAGCTGCTTGAGTTAGTTTGTGTGCTATATTTGGTGTGACATTTTGGACAAGGAATCGTGTTTTAAAGAAATCTGCCATGTTCTGCTCTGACTTGAAGTTGGAATCATTTTTAGCTCAAAATTCTCGGGGCCAGTTAAAGTTGGTTTGATTTAAAAGAAGCTTTGTGCTGAATGATTAGTTTCAGTTCTAAATGTTGGTTCTAGTTAATTATTCATCTGAGCCTGGTCTCTTGGGACATTTAATGGGCCAGAGTAAATTACCAGTGCTAGTGAGGGTTAAACTTTTTGTTAGATTGTGAGGAAAGAAAACATTATTAAACTCTTTTGCGTTTGGGAGTTTGGACCTTTTTGGAGGCCGCAGAGAGCTAAGAAGAGGGGACAACATGCACTTATATTTACCCATGTACACAGTGGATAACAAAAGTAAGAAAATACTTATTTGTACCCTAATTTACCTTCAAACCTTGTTCCAATGCACTTGTGCTTTACTGGGACTGCAGTTGAGTTCTATTTATACGGACATTTGTTGTTGCAAAGTTGGCTGTTGTATCTAGTTTGTTGCTGGGTATAGACTTGATTGGGGAGTCTTAAGTTAGTATTTTATTTTCTTCCGTTGGTGAAATAGTTTGTGCTGTACTGCTATAGTTCTAATTACATCTAGTAAAGAACAGAAATCAATATTTTCTCATGATGTGTACTTGTGATCTCAGATATTTGAGAAAAACCCAACCAAAATCAAGAACTATGGCATTTGGCTGCGATATCAAAGTCGGACTGGGTATCACAATATGTACAAGGAGTACCGAGACACAACTCTCAATGGTGCCGTAGAGCAGATGTACAATGAGATGGCATCTCGTCACAGGGTGAGGTTTCCATGCATTCAAATCATCAAGACAGCTACCATCCCGGCAAAACTTTGCAAGAGGGACAGCACCAAGCAGTTCCACAACTCCAAAATCAAATTCCCACTTGTGTTCAAGAAGGTTAGGCCACCTACCAGGAAGCTTAAGACAACTTACAAGGCATCAAGACCCAACTTGTTTATGTAGTTGTCTTGATAGTTAGTCGTGGGTAGGCTAAGCCTTCTAGGCTGATTACTTCCCTTCTTAGATTGAGAGGACAGATCAATTTTTGAGCAATTTACGTTTACTTTCTATCCCTTCTTGTTTTGAAGATTTTGTGGTTTGATAAGTTTATTTTTAATTTGATGAACATGGTCAATTACAATATAATAATATTTGCTATGTTTATTAAAGTTGGAGAGTGTGCAGTTTGTGTTAATACTCCCCTACTAGCGCAGAAATGATGTTCAATATTATAGTCACAGTTTTACCTCTTTAAATCATATTTGAAGTATGTCTGCAACATTGTATAGTTCTGGTAAAGATCTTCAATGGACATAGGAGCCGATAAATTTGTTAACCACTTGGTTGCTATTTCCTTTTAGTTGCCGTCCCTTAATGCCTTGCATGGTGCAACTAGCATTGATAAGTTGGCTCGTAAATCATCTGCATCTGAAGTTTCCAAGTTTTAGGACCTAAACCAAAGTTCATTTTGTGAACGAGTTCACATTTGCTGATTATTTTTAAAGCATTCAACGAGCAAACCACAGGCTCAAGGGCCATTGCATTTGGTTTCATGGTCATAAGGGAGAGGGAGGAAATCATTTTCCCATCCTTCTGCCTACAGAACAGTGCATCAATCGTAGCTATTGGAATGAGATGGTATGCAATTAGGTGAACAAAAATGCACAAATTAAACGAGAAAACACAATAAAAAATCTAAATACCAAAATTTCTTATATTAGAGATCGAATCTAGAAACAATTTACAAAAGAATAATAAAAATAAAAATAAGAGATTCAATTTTTTCATTGGTATAAGGAGAGAGAGAGAGAGAGAGACTTCAAATTCCGTTTCTCCGTTTGTCATCAATGGTATCAAAAAGCTTTCTGTTGCTGTAAAATCTCAAACAAAAAATTGGACAAAGCGCTCTATAGAAAAATACAGTCAGTCAAGGATGTAAGTTAATCAAAAATATGCCTTCTGCACTGAAAGCTCTCACTTCATCCCAGAGTTGAAGACATGCAACCCCAGCAACGCTTTATAATGCCCTTTCTCAATATCTTCCTCTTTCACCTGATGCAGGAGGAGGGTTTCAATAACAAAATCTTCCCAGTCGATTTCACTGGCTTGTCTTCTCTTTCTCTTTTTCCCAGCACAAACAACTTCTGAAGAGCAAAGATTGCTACTACCATCTGAACCAGAATTGGATGGATCAATGATCTTATTGATCCGCACCTTAGCAGCATTTATCTTTTTCCTTCTCCTCTCATTTGCCTTGCAACCGGCAATAAAAGATGGTGGCATCGCATCCAAACCTATTTCTTTCTCCATAATTTGCTTAAGAAGAAGCTTTTTACTTAATTCCGATTTCCCACTCCACCAATCCTTACATGCATGAAGTTCAAGCCCTCTATTTTTTCTCCCATGAACCTTTCCACTTTGTCCTTCCAACCTATCATCATCAACCTCAGTCAAAAAATTTGTATAAATCATGGACAAGCATTCATGTGAAAGCTTAAGGTTACCTATATTATTGTCATTATATATCCTAGGAAACTCCCTTCTATACCTTCCTTCAAAATATTGAGAATCACCTTTAATATAATTCTCGTCATCCCCATATTCTGCAACTTTTCGCAAACACTCACTAACCACATCATCCAAATCAAAATTCTCACCCTTTCCACCGCCCCCAGGTTCTTGCATGGACTTCATCTCCATATATCGAATCACAAATGGTGCATACTTGACCACATTTTTCACTGTCACATCTTGGCCCCATGCAATACTTGTGCAACCTTGACAAGTGCCTCCAAAAGCTCCTTATATCTCAACTTACAAGTAGCCACCGTGGCATGAACCTCCTTCGCTACATCCTCAATCTTTCAAAACCCTCTACCCCATTCAACTCTGCCACAAACGCCATCACTGCCGCCACTATGGGCAGTGGTCTCCTCCCTGTGGTCAAAAACCACTTGACTGCACAATTGACCAAAAAAATCCCTTGTTTCCTCATCCTCTCTTTCTTCTCCCCATCCATATTTGCCATCCTCATCGAATTATTCAACTCTCTTTCAAACAAACCCGCGATACTAACCTCAGGCAAAGTCAAATTCAAAAATTTAACCACACGAGCAATCATCCTACCTAATTCATAAACATCACAACCAACAACCTCCGCCACCTCCGCAGCGGGCAAAAACCTATCATCTCTCCTCATAACAACATAACAACAAGCACCGATTAAAACATTAAACCAATCACCTCCACCGAATTGTCCTTCAGTAATCTCATTGATCATAGAAGTAACGTCGGATTCGGAATAAGACATGTTAAGATTTAAGGTGTATTCGTGGATTAAGGTTTTGGCTTGAAAGATTTTCTTGTCTTTGTAACTGAAGAGAGAACCGGTACCTGCGTAGCCGATGTAGATGTTGGTGCCTTGGGGACCGTTGATGCCGCCGATTTGGGCGTCGTAGTTGTCGAAATCGAGGACGGTGTAGCATTCGGAGCAGACGAGGTTGCCGGTCACGTCATCGCGGATGGTCGAACGGCTTCCACATTTGCACGACATTCCGGTTTTGGGCTTTCTAAGGATGGTGTGTGGATGCTGGGAAAAACTGTGTCGAAAATTGTAACTTATAGTCTACGTATTCAAAAGGGATTTTGGAGAGCTTTTAAGGGTTTTTTCGTCCAACTCTGAACTTTAATACTTTATTCGGATTTTTTTGACATTTTAATGCGAAGAACCGGTCACCGACTGAAACAGGGTTGGGAGGGCGATGGGCAGAGGCAGGCAAGAGGGATTTAAACTATTTCTTGAAAGAAAGCTCCTGTCCTGCTGGAATCAACAAGATGAAAAGGCTCTGTCTTTCTCTCTCTCTCTGCTTCATGTCCCTTCCTATGAAGCTTACTAAACATGGAGATCTGCTCCACAGGAAGGATGAAACCTATAAAAACTTTCCCCTTCAAGTTCGCGAGAGTCCAATCTCAACTGCTTGCTTGTCTACTGAATTTTCTGATGTTCATAACCATTCAGCACTTAAGACTATAATTTTTCATTTCATGGCCAAAATTTCTGTCTTCTTTCAATCTGAATCTGCATGGCCTGATTTTAATCTACTCATCATATTCATAATGAACTGTTGAAGCCTAGAGCTAGACCAGAAGCTTGTTGAGCAATTTATTGTAACTTTTGATAGCTTAACGGAAGTCCACCAACAATTCTGTAAATCGAAGCAATCTCATTGGAAAAATGATACTTACAAAGGAAACTCATTGTCCTTTACGCTCAATCTGCAATCACTAATTTTTTTATAAATATCCGCACAACCACTTGCTTTTTCTTTGGATAAATACGGACAAGAATATATACACAACACAGCTGAAACTTCAAAAATAACAATGGCATTAACAAATGATAACACCACCAACAATAAGATAAGGGATACAAGACTAGGAAACGCCTTGGAAAGACAATCGATCCCGAAGAGTATCAAAAAGTGATGAAGCTGCTGCATTCTGTGCAAATGTCAATTTCAATCTTCCCAGCAATTCACCGTCTTTGGCTTGGGAAGCAGCATCAGCAGCTTCTTTGGCCATGCCAATCCGAGCATAAGCCTGTCATAACCGTACACAGATCTTGTGTCAAAGGTATAAAACAAAAAACTTATTACATCTATTCTAACGAGAAAAGCTATCACTTGCATCTGCTACATTAGCAATCACACACAGAAAAGTAGACACTACATGCCCATGAAAGCCGGCGAAATCAAAGACATATATTGGACATAAATTGTTACCTCAGCCCTTTCCCGAGGATCAGCAAGCTTGGGGATATATTTTAGAGCTTCACCTTTCTCATCAGCATCAACGCATGCCTCAACAAATGGCCTATAACCTATTTGATGCACAGAAAATAGATAAAAAAACAAAAACTGTAAACAAACTAACTTGCCTCATAATTATAAAGAAAGTGAAGAACAAACACTCATTGTAGTGAAAATGGCATTTAATTGATGTATTCATCGAACAAAACCCAAAACCAGTGCCTTTATATTTTATCCCTCCCCCTCTCCCCACTCTCTTTCACCATTTTAACTTCCAAATTCAATGCAAACTGTGTTAATGCTAGTTGCAATTGCATTACATAACAAGGGAAATTCACACAAAAACAACAACAAAAATCAGACTAGAACACCCTCTCCTGTCCCCACCCGCACGCCATTCCTCTTCCTTGGTTACCAATAAATGGAAAGAAAAAAGGTGCCAAATGAAACAGCAATATGATCCTTTGATGAGATCTACCAATCAAATTTGCATATTTAAGGCAGGATCGATATAAACATGCATACTCTTTTAAAACCATAATTAACGGAGCAACCTAAGACAATAAAAATAAAAACATTTTTCATTTATGCATGAACTGATACACAAAAATATTTTAGGCTAATAGGCTGACTAAACTAAACCTTTTACATTTGTGCAATGAAAGCCCCATAGTTTTATTGTGTCCCTAGAAATCCCTCAACATTGGTCAATTAAAAAAATAATGATTTAAAATATTTATTCCCAAATCAAGATAATTAAAACCTAAATGACCTTTCAAACAGCATTGACCTTAATTAAACCTACTTTAGAAACTACTAATTGAACTCCGTCTTTCTAAAAGATCAATAGGTTAAAATTTAAATGTAAACAAATATCTTTACTTTTTCCATTTTCTTTTATTTTTTTCCTTTGCCTATAATTCTTCTTTTATTCCATCTAGTGCCACAATAAGGATATAAAAATTGGGTGGGATAGAAAACATGTATCAAGAAAACCCATCCCACATCACTTCATCTTATGATGTTAATTTACAATACATGCCTTCACAATATCAGGTAACCACTGGCAAACAAAGCAATAATTATATCTTTCATAATAGCAGGCAGCGGAGTTCACTTGCAGACAAAGCATGATTATGTCTTATCTATCGTGCTCTCCAAAACTGAACAAGAACGTTCATAGCTTACCAATTGGTGGTCTCTTCTCCTTTGAAAACTTCTCAAGAGCATCCCAATCTCTAATTGTAGCCAAAGCAAAAACTTTAAGCCAATACCACCTCTTTTCAGAAACCTGAGACAAGTAAGCAATAAAGTAACAAATATGATTCCATGGGTTGTAAGGGCAATTTAAATGAACGATGCCTAAACTTTCAAAGAAGCCAAAAAATGAATGCCATATCTTGCGCCAAAAAGAGAAACTTCTTTTGGCAAGAGAGAATATAGGGGCAGTTTAAGAACCTTGAATTCAGTCTTCACTTTCATTGCCGCCCGATTATTCCCCAGAACAATACATGTTCGAATAGTATCACTGATACTTGAATCGACAAATATGGCCTGCTTTGTACTTACTTCTAATTCGTGTTGTATTCTGTATAATTTGGAAGTGTTCGAAAAAGTAGATAAATGGGTGTATTAGTAGGCAACTCATTTTATAAGAAAGGAAAGAAAGAAAACTAAATACAAATATTGGCTGATGAGGACTGAAAACCAGGATGGACACACTGAGAAACTATAATACTCCAATCATGAGTATGGATCATGAAACAAAATTTCCTGTTATACTATATTTAAATCTTGCTATATGAAATAAGGAACTCCAATCCCTAGCTTCTTTTAGCCTCCTATATTTTCCCCATTCGATACTGGAGGGAGGCTATAGTCAGTGCTATTATAGATAATGAATACATCTAATAAACATTTCTGCATACTTTGCATTTCAACCAAATAAAGAATGTGGTTTCTTCAGAATCTTTAAGATTTCTAAAATTAAGCCTTCTCTATTTCCTGCCTTACAAACAAATACACAAATTACAGTCCCTACCTAAAAGAACCTAGGAACGGCAACAGATAAGGTACCTGCTAATTTTGAGGTACTTGTACCCGAACTCAATTACAAAATCTAATACCAATACCCATCTGAACCCAATTAACAATGCCCTATTAAAACCTGAACTCGTTTATTTAGTTAACAATGATGTGAGCACCTGCTACAAAACAATTGAGAAGAACGCACCCATCAAATGGACTACAAAACAAGGCGACAAACAATCTGTAGTTTAATATCATATTAACCAACATAAAACCAAATTACAAACAAGTAGAGATGCCCACATGAATAGAACTTAGCACTCCCCCAAAGGGTTGGCTTTTTACATCAATACTATTATGTAGTTTTATGCCTCACATCAATTGTGTTTGGCATTTGCAATTATTTCTATCTAGATTAGGCCTATCCAATTGCAACTTAGTTTGAGGTTTGATGCCTTAACAAACACAAAACACTAAAGTAATTAATATCCCTCACCTCAACAACTTTGCATGCTCTTCAGCAGCTTTGGACTCAAAGGTATGTTCCTTGGTTTCTGTGAAAAGATGCTGGGCCTTTTCAATTAGTTTTATCCGTGGACCATGAAGTGGAGATCCTTTGGTTGCCATTGGATTTCTTCCCAGTTCCCATGATTCTTTCCACAAAAGAAATGCAACTTCCTACAAATCAAACAAACTGCACGTTAAACATTCATCACATAATCAAATATGGAAGTCACTTAGTAGGTCCTTGATGCATATTTAAGCTTTGACCACAAGAAGCTTAAAGGTAAAATACTCAACTTAGAATAGAATGATGGATTGAATGTGCAAGAAAGAGAGAGGGATCTGTTCTTTTCTTTTCCTGGTCGGTTCCCAATTTACCATCACCCTTTATCTTTTCTCTTCTCTGTACTGTTCTAGTTGCCAGACAGGTCTAAGACATCTTCATTGCTTAGTGTTAGATATTCAATTATTCATGCAACATAGAACATGAACATTTCACACACTGCAAAAGGAGGCACCTGGTGTCATGCCTAAAGTTCTATATCTACTTATCTCCATTGACTAATTTCCTAAAGGTGCCTCCCACGACCCATTAACTTGGAAAACAAAGATTGTAGGGTTGTTATTGAATATCAATAAACATCTTCGATCCCATAAGGAGAGCGTAAACCACTAAACATCTTTGATCCATGGAAGGGTTAGTTGACAAACTGTAGTGATTTCTATGGTCCAGCCATAGCTGAAAATTTAAAAGTCATAAAGCTGATAACTGATGCAAATAATCTGCAACAGTCTTTGACAATCAGTAAACATTGTATATTATATCATCCGAAAAGATTTAACATATTCAACGTTCTTATGATCAGAATACCAATCAATTCTGAGATTTCAACGATCTCATAGCTGAATACCCTTAGGATATCAGATATCATACAAAAGCAAACAAAAAATTTCCTTTTTGGCAGTTGAATCTTTTCTAATGAACAATATTAAGAACAGCAAGAATAGTAATAACAATAATGGTAATAATACCAATAACACCAACAAATAATTCTAAGAATGATTTGATAGTAGTAAGAGCAACAAAAGCACCCAAGCACTGAAACTTACTTGAAGTTGTCCAGTAGAAAGGAAGAAATCTTTCAAAAATTCATGCTTATAGCACCTGAAACACAAAATATCATGAATAATCAATACAAACATTGACACATGTAGTGTAAAAAATTGAAAACACAAAATCCTTGAGGGAAAAAGCTTCATTTCCACCATTTATCAAATAAATGACCAGAAACAGCTCAACACTGCCACAACGAGCACAAACGCTTATTCTAAAGGCAAAACTAAGAGTCAAGGTACAAAGCATACTTCCTAAAATAATATATTTATCACTTTATAATTTTATGATTACTCAATACTATTCACTACGTAATATCAATGTATCACAATCACCTAAGAGCGCACCATCTCTTGCACCTTATATTAGCTCTTCAGCCTCTCAGAGACTTTTAACATATCATGTTACCTGGACCTCGTTACATGTAGCCTTTAATAATTTTAATTTCCACAATTATTTGCAAAGTCATGCTTACAAAAGATTAAAAATATAATATGGAAGAAAAATAGTAACAATAATATTCCTTTAATTGTGAACCTACCGTGCATAAGATATAAATAAATCACGTGGCAGGGGTCTGGCCTGAATCATTCCAAAGAATTCCAAAGGTGGCCTCTG